GGTTGAAGAAGTGAAAGAGTAATTACTTATCCTGCATCTGACTGCATTAAACTTCACATGTCTTGCCTGCTTACGCGAAGAACGAGTGCCACAGAAATATCCATGAAAACTTGATACCCCATAACAGCAACCCCCAAATGAGCTAGTGTGCTGGGGGAGTTCATGTCCCTGCAAAGAATCAAACGAATGGAACAGACTGTTACAAGCTTGGGACTTTCCCAGTTCACCTTTTTCTTTTTCTCTTTTGTATGGAACATGCATAGTTCAAATAGTGCCAAGCACAAGAAGCAAACAACTATTCCTAAGTATAGCACAGACGCAGAACGAACAAGCCAGTCACAAAAGTTTGTAAACAAGTAGGATAGGCATAAACATTAGGACGAAGTAGAATCAAATGGGTAAGAGCTTGAGATGAAAATTTTCACATTGAACAGGCTTGTCATGAGAGTTTGAACAGGCTTGTCAAGGTACTTAACACTGGGTTCAACGTCCTCAGTTGCCAAATTGAAGGGTCAACATGAAAATGCGAAAATAGATAAAAGAAGCTGAGAGCTTCGACTCTCAGTTGGGGAGTGTTGGTGAGGAAGCAAATTCAAGTACCTTGGGGAAGCGGGAACAACTCATGGAGTCCAACATAGTCCTAACGGGAACAAAGAAGAGGAATCAGAGAGATGCAGGATAAAAATGCCTTCATCTGAGAGAAACCCAGAAAGGATCAACCACAAACTCTATCCAACAGATTCACCAAGGCAAGCTGAGAAGTTTTGGTCCTCCGCCCGTGGACGAGGAATGGAAACCGCTCTCTGCCTCTGGCGGACGGCAACCCAATTTTTCCCTTAGTTCTGTGTTTTTCGTTTTTAATTTGTCGTTTGTACCGTACTTCCACCGTTGCCACTCGTCTCTTATTTTTATTTTTATTTTTTTTCTGTTGGAGGAAAATTGGAGAGGAGAAGTCTATGTGGCGGATTTCGTTATCTGACAAAATAAGTTTTGATTGGGAAAAAATTAAGCCACGCAGCACACTCCGTTCCTTCTCATTCTCATTATTCTTGGACGTACATAATTCGAGGAGCCGCACGGATAATCTTTTCATATTTTAACTAGCTTTGAACCCGGCCGTTGGCCGGTTGGTTACCATTTATATATTTTTTTATAATAAAAAATTTATCAGGGCCAACAACAATAAAAAGGAATAGTAAATAAATCACTACTATCCTAAATTCCTAATGAATATTATTACATTGATACTAATTAAAAATCATCATACTTAAACTGTTCTTGTATACATTTTTCAAAAGATATTAGTGATGTTTCATGTATCCAAATATAATTTTATGTCACACAATTTTAGGTTTATGAGAGATTAACTGGTATGTATTGAGTAATTTCTCAATTAAACACTCAATAATTTTTTAATAATGTTAAGTCATTGACATATGCAATACACGTTTCTAAATGAAGACATTAAATACTTAATAAAAATATTAATTTTTGGCTAAATTTATAGTATACTATTTGTCATCATTCACATGATAGTTCATCTATCAAAGCTTGACAGATATCTGATAATACTATTATGCATGAAATTCTCATACCTACCGTGAAGTTTTACATTTTTTCTCACGTTGAAATGATGATTTCTGAAGTCCCGATGCATGCTTATATGTGAAAATTCATGAACCGAATAACTCAATATCTTCAATTGTACAATATAGATCAATCCACAACGTACGATATTCGAGCCAAGGTTTAACTAATAATTCTTAACAAAAATAGTATGAAGTGTATTAACCAATTTTTTAGTAACCTACCATACCGTCTGATCAAACGGAAATACCGGATATCATATTCAAAATGGTAGATAATTTTAGCTATATGACACGGTTGAACCTTACCGGCTGGTTGAATGGAAAAATGAGATATCAAACTCCAAACAGTATGTGATTTTAGTGAAATGAAATGATTGAACCATATTTTTAGTAGAAAATACCTTATCACATAATTTTTTATATAACTTTTAATACAATTTTATAATTATTAATATTAACCGGACAAACAAAATACAATGAGTAAACACAACAAAACTGGAACAATTGTACATGTATTAAAAAAAGCACGTAAAGTTCTGTAAAAAAAACAAAGGAAAATAATAAATATAGAAAACTACCGCAATTACAAATGCAAATGCGAAAATAAAATAAAAAAAGAAATGGAAATTCCGCAAGTTGCGGGGAGGCGTTTAGCGAGAAAACGCTTTATATTATTTAGAGATAATACAAAAGAAAAATTAACAAGGCAAGAATAGGACTTTTCATGAATAATTATGTCTATGTTTGGCACGGCTTTTAGAAGTGCTTTTCGGTTTCAAAAGCTGAAGCAGGGCCAAACACCTCTAAAAGCTCGGCTTTTGAAAAGCCGAAAAGCGCTTTTGTATAACATAAAAGCAGAAGCTCCGATTTGAAGCTTCTGCGAAAAGCTGTTTTGAAAATACAAGATTATCCTTACCATATTTTAATTTTATTTCAGAAAATATAAATTTTTTTCATTTATATCATTTTAAAAATAAATAAATTATAAAATCATATTATTTAATATAAAATAAATCTAACAAGATCCATTTTTACTACTTTTTATTGTTTAGAATTTTTATTCATATTTTATATTATAAGTCCTTTATAGTCATTTTACACAACCGCTCATATTAAAAAGCACTTCTAATAGTTTTACAGCCAAACACTAAACTGCTTTTTTTGAAAAGTACTTATCTAAAAGCTCCAGCCAGAAGCTGCTTCTACAAAAGCTACAGCAGGGCCTCATTTTACGAATAAGTCATTCTAAATAGCATTGATGGAAGAGATACCTTAATTCAATCTTGCCACATTATAATTGTACTAAGAAATTGTTTGTATGAGTCATTTTCACGAGTCATTTGGAATTCTCAAATGTTATTAGGATAACAATTGTTTCATTAAAAGTAAAAAAATAAATTTCACCTTCCTCAGTCCCTCCCCATAGTTACTTACTACTTTCGGAATCAGCGTTAATCCTTGCAAGTTGCAACTACTACCATCACCAAAAGAGCTCACAACCTCCCTCATGTTTGGTTGTGGAAGTCGTGCATCCTCTATCCAATTTGAGAGATCGGAGGGATTTGAAGATTCAATTCAAAAGTATCCATCTACTATGCCAATGACCATATTTCGGCCATCACAAAAAAAAAATGCAAAAAAAAAACTTCAGAATCAGCGTCAATCCTTGCAACCACTACCATCACCAAAAGAGATCACAACCTCCCTCCTGTTTTGGTTCTGGAAGTCGTGCATCCTCTATCCAATTTGAGAGATTGGAGGGATTTGAAGATTCAATTCAAAAGTATCCATCTACTATGCCAATGACCATATGTCGGCCATCACCAAAAAAATGCAAAAAAACTCTGGAAGTCCTCCAATACTGGAAATTGTATTCATGGGAGTCCTTATTACAGTTCAACCCTTAACATCCCAGCTTCCAACTGTACATCTTCGGAAAGAAATGGCGCTTTGCAACACCGTGGAACATAGGCGGAGCCAGCCCAATTGGGCCTTGTCACGGGACAAGGGTAAATTTTGGGAGGAACAAAAATACTCTATATGTTTATGCTTGTTAAGGATGGAACACGACACCTAGTACAACGTATTTTGTCACTATATCACAATTCATTACTTGATCATAATTTGACATTAAATTAATTTATTATACTATAAACCAAATATCAATTGGAATATATCTCTTTTCTTCATATGTCTATTCGGTTATTTTCCTAGCAATCTTGAAGCAGTCCAGTGGTAGCGTAGATTCCACTAGTTTTGACGGCAAGTGTAGATAAAATATTTTCAGCTTTGAGCTATATCAAGAACGAACTCTGAAATCGAATTCACAATCAGTTTGCTAATGATTGTGTAGTGGGATCCATTGGAAAGGACTTACTTAAGAGTATATTTTATGTTTCTTTAAGAATATGAAAATTCATCATGGTTGTTTATGAATATACCGATTGTATTAGTCGTTATTTTTATATATGAAAATAAATTATTCAGATATTATTAATTTAATTATATTTATTAAATATTTATATATTTATAATACGAAAAAAAGGACAGGGGTAGTTTCAAATCCTGCCTCCGCCACTGCCGTGGAATGCAATTTGTTCGAATTGGTGTCGTGTGCTCGATTGTCGTGCTTTACTATGGCTGTTGGCTGCTAACCAAGATTCAGGCCTCGACGGATTTGGGGCGGTTCATTTTTACCAACAACCAGTGGAAATTTAGGGGATTGCTTTGTAACGAACAAGGTTGTCAACCCACAGGTCGACCCAAACCCAGACCCAGACGAGCTAGTGGGTCAAGGGTTAATGGGTCACCCGTTTTAGCCCGGAAATATTGAAAGAGTCATTATATTGTACTTATCGTGAATTCAACATTGAAAAATACAACACTACATAAACTCCAACCCACTTAAATAACATCAACCTAAATTTAAGATAGTAAAAATTCAACAACACTTAAATCCATCACATAATATTAACTCAAATCCATCATAGTTAAAAATTCAAGAATACTTAAATCCACCACACTTAAATCCATCACATAACATCAACTTAGAATTCCAAATAACAAAAAAAAAGTACTCAATCTTCAAAGAAATCTATCCATCTCCATTGCATCACTAATATGAGAAATGTTGAAGTCAATTTCATCGATCACATCATACTCGAAGTCCTCTGCATTAAAACATGAAATCAAATATTCATAATTATTACCAATGAGAAGATAGTTATTATAAGAATATATAGACTTTTCTATAGTTGCTATAATGAGCATACCTTCAACACGAGGACGCTTGTTAGAAGATGATGATGATTCCTACTCCTCCTCATAAAGAGTCTTTTCAAGCTCCTCATAGTTTATATCTGCAGGTAGATCTTCTTCTACAATCCAAAAATCGATGTTATCTAATTGCTCATAATCAATTGGGTCTTTCGCCCACTCCTTCTTCAAGCACCTACAAGTCAAAGAAGATTAAACAATTAAGTATATGAATATGAAGTGTTAATGACTTTACAATGTTGCATACAATTTAATCATTACCTATTCTTCAACCTCAAATTGTAAGTCACATAAACAAGATCATTCAATATTTGATTCTCCAATCGATTCCTCCGCTTACTATGAATTTGGTCAAACACACTCCAGTTCCGCTCACATCCAGAAGAAGATGATGTTTGAGACAAAAGTCGAACAACTAGCTTCCTCAAAGGTCTCTTTTCTCAATTTGGAGTGTCGATTGAGGATGTGTTTAGATTCAGATAGTTTTACCACGTTAGATCATCTCTTACTACTTTCCACCTCCCAAACACCTCTACTCCTCGGGTTCGGATGACAAAGTACAAAGCACCTTTTAGCGAACCACGAGACCTCGGTTCTCGCTGAACCCGACATGTGTGGCACACCCGTCTATCGTTGAGACGAGGTATCTTTTAATCAACCTCAATCCCAAAACCTAAACCGGTTGAAAAGATAACAACGAAATGAGAAGTAACCTAAGGTATCGAAACCCGTGGAACACGATATTGATAGTCGCTATACTAGCACTGTCATTCTGAGTTATACTTAGCTCATAATGGTATAGTCAGGTAAGTCGTGCAAACGATTGACAACACCGTACAGGGTGGTAGCATTTATGCGAACCAATTATTATAATATATTAACCAAAAATTTGTTTACCGTTCACTAACTTTTAGCTGAACCTTGATCACGTGGGCTTGAAATATGGGCTTCCAAAATATGAACTTTAATTATTCTACCACTTGGATTGTTGTTTAGGGAAAAGAAGAATAAAAGTGGCATGTACATTCATGTACAAGTGCTAAGAAAATAAAAGAAAAAAAGTAACACAAAATTATTATTATTATTATTATTATTATTTATGACCAAGGTCGTCATGTCAATTCATGTGTGTTGACTAGCTGGTTGACCGATTCATGAGGAAAATGGGTCACATATATCCACGGGTGGACCAACTGTAAGATTATCGTGTTGGAGGTCACACAACGTTGTTTTTTTCTTTTGGGTTGTAAAATGCGCATTTTTCGGTTTTTATCTTTGCCTAACCTATCTTTGGAATTCTAAGTTTAATTTAGGGAAAAGAAGAATAAAAGTGGGCATGTACGATTCATGTACAAGTGCTATGAAAAGAAAAAGAAAGAAACACAAAATTATTATTATTAATATTTAGTTATGACCAAGTTTCAAAAAAAAAAATATTTAGTTATGACCAAGGTCGTCATGTCAATTCGCGTGTGTCGACTAGTTGGTTGACCGATCCATGAGGAAAATGAGTCACATATACCTGCGGGTGGACCAACTGTAAGGTTATCGTGTTGGAGAGATCACACGACGTTGTTTTTTCTTTTGGGTTGTGAAATGCGCTTTTTTTTTTTGGTTTTCCTCTTCGCTTAACCTATCTTTGAAATTCTAAGTTGAACTTGAATATTATTGTTATATAAATGTGTATGAATTTTCACTTATGTAGGATGAAAGTACAACCTGTTATTTTGATGTAATGTTAAATGTTATTACTCGTATGTTAGATGAGATTTGATATAATTTATAAAAGGTATGAACAATATATTGACTTTTTCCATATACCCGAGCTAAATCGAACTAAATCCATCGAACCATTAATGTTCAACCCATTTACTCAACCGGACCAACGAGCTAAACGGGTAAACAATCTTGGTTATGACACGGTTCTTAATTATCTATTACTATAATTCTAATAATAATAATAAAAATCAATTCACTTTTTTAGTTTTTTTCACTTTCGCGAATTGAGAATCCAAGTGGTCTCCAAACATCAATACAACTAGCAATATGGTGCGGTGCAGTCACTTTCTAGTACCAATTAAAACAAAATGATACAAACAATAAACACGTATTCAAATAATAAATTTCAAATACAAGTATTTCATATCTTGAATTTCAAATACAAATGTGATCTCTTCTGTGTTTGTATTGTAAACAATACTAAATATACACCGAGAACGGGATGATATTGTAGCTCAACTGCCTTCAAGAGGCGGGCAATGCCCAAGCCTCTGAAACATCCACCAGAAGAAGTGGGGAAAACTCAAAGCACTTCAATGAATAATAAGTGACTTTATTCAGCTTTGGCCTTGGGGCCACAATTGGACATTCATAAGATGTTATCATTCGATTTACGCAAGCCACTGGCCAGTCTCCATCAAATACACACTGAGCATGTCTTTATGTATATATAGGAAGAAAGAGTGAGATATCAAGGGATAGGTTTCCATTATTCACATGGAAGAGTTGGCTGGAGAGAACTTGAGCGATATGCTGTTAACACAATGGCGTTCATCCGTGGGTGTCTTGAACCCTTCCCCTTTAAACACATGACCCAAATGGCCTCCACAAGCTGCACAAGTGATCTCAACTCTCATACCGTCTGGGTCAGCCTGAGATACAGATATAACCCTATGCAATTTGTTAGACACAGATTATGATCAACTTGACTGTTTGCCACAATCATATAGAAGAAGAAAGCACCTAGCTCACTCACATTACGGTTTATGGCTCCAGGAAGGCCCTCATAGAAGGCAGGCCAGCCGCAGCCAGAATTGAATTTGGTTGTTGACTTGTAAAGAGGAGTCTCGCATCCTGCACAACTGTAGACGCCCTCTTCGGAAAACTTGTCGTACTGTCCTGTCCCAGGATACCTGTGCATCATTCAATTAGAGTGAAGGATCATTGATTCTAAATTATACACTTGCCCCTTAAACACAATCTCATAGATCCACTGACATTAAGGCACTCTCATGCATTCACTAAAAATTCAACATTCAGTGTATGATCTACGCGCATAAAGCTCATTGCCGGATAGGTACTTTTCCTGAATCCACCTGCTAAATTCCTTCACTTGATGGATGGTGATTCCACCACTCATTTCATTCACCCAAACGAACTCTTAGTTCAATCTTTGATCAAAATATTCAATACTGACTGGAAATAAATTTGAAGTTCTCATGCATAAACACAACTATACGGACATCACACAAGACACGCTCAGTTATGGCGATTGCAGTTGTAGTAGCACATGAGACTGCTACACTCAACAATGGTGGTCTTGAAATAACAGTGAGGGCGACAGTTTCTACTTTGATTCAGGCCAGTTCTCTGACTACGCAATCTTATAACACAGACATGGATCAAGTATCAGGAGGGTCCAGACTTACATACAGAACTTAAGATTCTAAAGCCTACTGAGAACGGCTCATTTGGCTAATTAGAAGTTACAACTGAGAGCCCATTTGGCCAATTTGAGGAAGCTTTTTTCGTTTTCCTTGCATCAGTCATGGTTTCCCCAGAAAGATCACAGTTCGGAGTTCATTCGTGAGAACTTGCTCGCTAACTATGCGATTGCAGGTTATCGAAATCCCCCATTCCAGAAAGGTCCAAAATCAACAGGATTCGGTTCGACCGGCACCAACCCTCCTCAAATTTACAGAAACAAAGAACCGAACCCACGGGATCCCCAATTACAGAAAACCCTAACACCAACTAGCTAGATGAAACAAAATGAGCTGAATCAATTTTGGGGGTACCCAGAAGCTTACTCGGTGCCTTTCTGCCTCAGAATTCTGAACTGCTGAGGCGACAAGACTGCACGCCACTCTTCATCTGTCTTCTGAACAGACCCAGGAGCCGACATGGCCACAATCCGACCGCCACGAAAGCTACGTTTACAGACCAAGGACGAAGGCCGAACAAACGGAGAGACCGAGATCGAGACGGAGCGAGATGTGAGCTCCAATGGTAGCGACCTCAAATGGGTGGCCGTGAAAAGAGATTTGGGAACAGTGGCTGAATCGAAGAGAACGAGTTTGGTGGAGGACAGAACTGGAGAGGTTTTGAGCATGCTTAACCTGCTGCGCATTTTTCATGTACTCCAAGAGGGATACACGCGTACTATGCCGACCAGAAGGCAAATATAGGGCTAGTTAGGCCTCGGGAGTGGATAGGGTCCTCTCTTATCATTCATGTTAACTAGGAGAGCGGATCCAGTGACATAGGGGTCCCTCCCACCCCTTAGATCTGAACACTTCAATCTAATGGTTAAAAAGTGGGAAGGGCTATTTAATTAATGACAGGGGTAGTTTGGGTATTATGGAAAATTACGAAGTATACAAACCGGATTTACAATCAGTACAAACCATACAAACATACGAACAGTACAAACTAGAGCGACAAAACATACAAACAGATTTACAAACATTACAAACGTATGAACTGTACAAACAATACAAACTAGACCGACAAACAATAAAAACCATACAAAAAGAAAAAACAACCGGGTTGACTTTCGAGGCTCCATCCCTATATAGATGGGCTCTTTCCCAAAGTCAACCCGGGTGTTTTTTAGACATACAAACAGTACGAACATGGTGGACAAAAATGACAAACTAGACCGACAATCCATACGAACGGGAAAAAACACCCGGGTTGACTTTGGAGGCTCCATCCCTATATAGAGGGGCTCCTTCCCAAAGTCAACCCGGGTGTTTTTTAGACATAAAAAACATTACGAACATGGTGCACAAAAATGACAAAGTTTACAAACATGGTGCACAAAAATAACAAAGTTTACAAACATTACAAAAAAAAACCGACAAACATTACAAAATAACAAAGCATACAAACAATACAAAATATGTCAACAAACATCACAAAATTAGAACTGTCGCCGGGAAATTCTTCTCCGGCGACGATGTTCGCCGGGAAAATTTCCCGACCAGAAAAGCTCTCTCTCTCTCTCTCTCTCTCGGACGAACCCAAAAAATAAATGGCACAGGAACGAGACGAACCCAAAAAATAAATGGCGTTAAAGAGCAATGGCAGCGCCGCCAGGAAATTTTGACCGGCGAGGAGACCCGGCACGGGCTGGACGCCCGGGGTCGCTGCTGTTGGATTTTTTTAATTATTAATTTCTGAAAATAAAATAATCATGAATCGTGTAATTACTACACTACCCTTCATTAAATTGAATTAATTAGAGCCATTGGATTTTAATGAACTTGAAAGGCTAGGATTGAATTAGGCAAGTGACTAAGGGGACCCCCCTTAGTCACCTGATCTTATCCCTGTTAACTAGCTTATTACCCGGCCCGTTGGCCGGATTACTATATGTTACTCACTTGTGGAATGGGAGAGAAAGCAAGTGAGAGTGAAAGGATTG